AATGATTCTGTGATGCCCAAAGTTATTCCGATTTTTCTGAAGTGACTAAATATTTTCTGAAGGGATTCCAAACTTTTCTGAAGTTATTACAAAATGATCTCAGCTCTTGAAGAAGTGATTGCAAACTTTAGAGAATTGATAAAGTACTTTCCGAAGTTTTGTGAAGATGTTTAGTTCTTTCCGGATTTTTTTTTTTAGTTTTTACGAAAGCGATCACAAACTTTCTGGAAAGATTAAGTATTATCTAAAAGGATTCAGAAATTTTTTTAAGTCATTCAATACTATCCGAAGAATTTCAAAGTTTTTTCTGAAGTGATTAATTATCCAAGTAACATTCTAAGTTTTATTGAGGTTTTAAAGCACTCTACAAGTCTAAATCATGGTCTACAGTACCCTCATAAAACCCAAATTGTTACTGCTGAATCACTTACAGTATTTTTTTAAGTGATTCCGAACTATTCTCAAGTGATTCAGTACTTTATGAAGTTATGTCGATCTTGTTTATATGATTTCAAACTATTCTCCTATTCTATTCTGTGAAAGAATTTTGAAAACACCATCATGTCAAAATTTCTATCTTACGCCACTAAGTAGCGCCAACTTTTGCCCGCCAATCAGGATTTGCACCGTTAGTGGTTAACCTCAATTAGATGAACTTTTGAACAGTTCAGTGGTATTATTTAACTTTTTTCTCTCGATCATGGACACAGCCCGAGCAAAGTCTGAGATCAAATTGCAATCTAAATTTGATGTTGTGATTTCGCTGATAATGATAACTCAGGTTGCTGTTGTTTTAGTCGTTTTAACGGTTAAAATATCAAAATTAATAGCAAACATATCTTCCTGTGACATCACATTGAAAACTATTTCTGCTATCAGTGAGAGCAAACTGAATACTCAATTTGATATCAATTTTTCATGTTGATAACAAAACAAGTATTCAATTTGATGTTATGCTAAGGCAATGAAATCAAACCCGCAACAACATATTTTTGAAGAGCAAATGTACAGCAAAATGAAAACAAAATTTATCAATTGCATAAACTGAAATCAAATTAGGATTTCAGTTTGATGTTGATATCAAAACTTGATTTCAATATGCTTTCATTTTGATGCTGAACTGATGCTGATGCTATTTTTTTTTTCAAAAAGATATTCTGCATTAATTTACCTAAAAACCTCTCTCTGCATTGGCGTTGCCATGCGATAAGGTACATCTTTGAAGATATTCTGGATACCACGCAAATATTTGAAAACATCCCAACTGATACTGCAAACACTATCCTTGAATGCATTATGCAAAATATACAGCCCACAGCTTTCCAGATCTATCAGCTTCTCGCCACCTTTTTGTACCTCTTGCTTCAATTCACATTGGGCCCATCCATGGACACTTGCAGCAACTTGTTCGAAGAGATACCGGCAAGGGCGTCCATAAACGCAGCGAGTAGATCTGATGCCCGGGATCTTCCCAAAAACGTTGACGTCATGCACTGATAAAATTTCAAAGATTGTTTTATGTGTCCCACACATAATTTTTAGCAATGTGATCAACATTATTTTTTTCCCTGACCTACACTAAAATTCCCTGACATTCCCTGACTTTCCAGATCATTCCCTGAATTCCCTGACATTCCCCGACTTTCCAGATTTTTCCAGGTAGTCGACACCCTGGGGACGTCAACGCGCACCACTCAAATTGGGGTTGCCCTCGGTCGGACCTTCGTGGCACGGACCTCGTGGACATATTCGAGAATGAAGATATAGTAATCTTGAACGATGGTGCTCCAACGTATTTCAACGGAAGATACACATCCGCTATCGACGTAACTCCGCTGGTGGAATGAAGATACGAAGAAGGCAGTCAAAGCCCGGCGCATGGCACTTCGACGTGTAAAGCGGCTCCCCATCGGACACCACGACAGAGAGGAGGCCCTTTGTCACGTGAAGTATACAACCAATGCCGACAAAAAATCCGTGATGCAAAGCGATCCAGCTGGATGGAGTTCCTGGAAGTGCAATCCTCGGCCGATCTCTGGCAGCGAGTCAACGCCCTTAGTGGGAAACGGTAGCTGAATGTGCATGTACAGTGCAGAAAAAATTCGTTCGATACGCACTTCGCACTCTCCCATGGAATGATCCTTCAAACTAACCATCCGATGAAGAACGTTGCCATCTTCTTGGACTAGAGACGCTAGAACGACGACGCTCCATCGCTCAAGCGGTTTTTGTGGCGAAAATGCTAAAAGGAGAAATTGATGCCACGTATATCCTGATCGAAAAGACTACGCCAGCGGGATTTCCTTCAGCTTGGTTCGCGAAATGTTCAATATGGACAACATGACCTTATTAGATTTATGTGTAGTGCTTTTAACGACGTTTTTGAATAGTTTGACTTCAACTTGACCATAAGAACCTGTGCGGTATACTGTCATGAGCTTAGGAAAGTGTGAAATAAGGCATAACATTTGATAACGGCACAAAAGCATTTGTAAACAAACTTTCTAAGGCCCTTTACACGCGAACCAAAGTACACCCACGCAAACCAATACCATTTTCGGAAAGGTGATAGTTGCCCCTATCCGATGATCTTGTTGCTATGCGTGGGCGTACTTTGGTTCACGTGTAAAGGGCCTTAGAAAGTTTGTTTACAAATGCTTTTGTGATGTTATGCCTGAAATGAGCTATATTAATGATTCAGTAGAAATGTATACGGAACTAATGTCGATTTGATCAAAGTAGGCTATGCTTCGTATATTTGAAAACCCAGAACTCGTGGCCTTTCATTCCCAGGAGCTCCAAGAGGTAAGTAAAAATTTAGCTGCAAGCTACAGCGTTGGAGGATTCCTCTTTGAACCAGGTAACCACATAACCTTTCGACAACAACTCTCTTTAAGGCGATAGTTGTTTGTAATACTCTAGTTTAGAAAGTATCCGCGACCTCTAAGCCTTCATCAATCTTTTTGGGGTTATGAATCGAATCAGAAGTTCATTGCTTTTTTTCAAAATGAAGCTCCCTATTGCAGACTCACCATATGTTAACTGCTTTCAAATCAGCGTACGATTCAGTGAAGAGAAATAATCTTTGGCAAATTATGTTAGAACATGGTTTTCCGGTGAAATTGATTAGACTGATTCGTGTAATGCATGATGGACCGAAATCAAGTGTACGGGTTGCAGATAAGATTTCGACCTCATTCGTGACCTTATATGAACGGAAGCAGGGTGATGCACTTTCGAACTTACTATTCAACATTGCTCTTGTAGGAACGATTAAGAGATTAATATCAGCGGAATTGACCGCACCACAGTGAAAGAGGCGTTTGTTCCCTTTAAGAGGGAGACTGCGAGGATTGGACTAACGATAAGCTCTATCGAAACGAAGTGCATGTTCGCCGGTAAGCAGCGTGGTAGTAATAGTGGTGACATACAATAATGATATTAGCCACGAGGTGAAGAAACGCATTGCAGTTGCAAATAGAACTTTTTACGGATTGCGTAACCAGCTGAAGTCCCGTAGCTTTCAAACGAAAACGAAATTCGCTTTGTATACAACATTGATACTTCCGGTAGCCGGTCATTGGAGGAGGCTGACCGAAAAGAAAACGGCATCTGGTGGCGTCGCATGAACCACGAGTTGTATCAAGCGTATAATGGCATGGATATTGTGAAGCTTATAGAACACGGCAAGCTACGGTGGGCTGGGCATGTAGTACGGATGCCAGAAGAGTAACAAATGAAGACAATATTCAGCAAAGAACCCGATAGACCTAGCACTCGTTGATTTTTTGCAATTGAGAAGGACTTTCAGTTGGCGACTGGAAGCGATTGACTCAAGTCCGAGTCCAGTAGGTATGTAACTATGTAATGTAGGTATTTTCCCCAGTAAATTTGTTAAATATAATAAGTGCTTTTTTTCCTCTGTTGTATTTACTTTGCTCAACCTGTGTATGTAAACTGATTTGTACTTTTCAGAGGTGAACCATTTATCAACTTAGTTTTCCTTAGTCTGGGATCAATCATCAATCATCAAAAAAATCCTAAGTCACTTCGGAGTCTTACCAAGGTCGAACCACATAGGGGAAATGGATGTTATGTCGGCCTACACACTAAGATTATTTTACCGAAATCTGTGAAATTTTACCGGAATCGCAACAGCTGAACGTGCGGTAAGCAGTTCGATGATTTTTCACAGATTTCCTGTAATTTTTGACAGATATTCGGTGAAACATTACAGGAAATCTGTGAAAAATCATCGAACGTTCAGCTGTTGAGATTTCTGTAAATTTTCACAGATTTCGGTGAAATAATCTTAGTGTGTAAATGCCCCTAATTTGGGCCCATACATAAATTCAACAATCGACTAAATTTTCAATAGCGACCAAAAATATCCATTAGTACCGTCCCAATGACGAGTCCATCTAGATAAAATTTATAAATAGCAGATTTTTAGCGATGGGCCCAATCTTAGATACATTTCCCCTAAGTCATAATTTTCAATAATTAGTTTCTGAATATCAAATAATGTTCAGACTACCCGTATGTTTATAATCACCAAAATGAAAGGAATTCAAGAGAGAACTTTCAAATAGTCGTATTTGTTTTTATAAACAAAAGTTCAAACGCATAAAAACTTCACCGAAGACACCAAACAAAAGCACTATGGCTACTTTCCTACTAAATGCCCACCCTAGACCACTGTTGCTGCCTATAATCGCATATCAGTCACATAAGGATTTTAAGATAATAACGCTATCCGCTATCAATTGGCATCTACTTTCATATAACGTGATAAAACTCTGGACATTTATCATGAAAAATGTGAAAACAACATCAAGTCAGTTTGTCCCATCAAGCAAAATAATAACGTATCAGTCCCATCCTGAAATTCAATCGTCCAGAAGTCAAGTTACAGTTCTGCTTTTTGAATCGCTATATTCTTCGTTGATAGAACAAAATATGCATGCTTCATGGCAACTGAATCACATAAATCAACATACCTTATGATACAGATCTTGCGATCTACCGGGTGAAGTTGTTTTGGTCGATTTTACAGCAGCTTGGCCTTTGGAGTTCGTTTCGGATTTAATCTTTTTCGTATCGAGTAGCTTCTTACTGAGGTGCAATTTTCTCAACACACTGGGAATCTTTTTTCCCGCATGATTATTCCGATAATGACTCCGTAAGTGAGATTTAATATGATACTTCTTCGGACAATAAGGACAACTAAGCCTCGGTTCTGAGTGACTTTTCAACTGTTTCGAACGAAAAAAAAAGAAAGAACATATTAGGTATAATGCGAATGTTGATTCAAATCTTTCGAAAAACACACCTTATGATACTTAAGCCGGCTCCTGCTGGTAATGGAAATTCCGCAAATATCACAATCGACCTGTTCATGGAAAAATGCAATGTGATGAGTTAACAGCGATTTTTCGTAACACTCTTTGTCGCAATCGGGGCACTTTGTTTGCAATGGTTCAAGATTCTTGGCAGTAGTTGAGGGTTCATTGCGTTTCTCATTGGTTATTTTGCTACCATCAGCATCATTCAAACTAGAACAAATACCCTCGAATGGAAGCTCCACGTGGTCCTGATCAGAATTCATGTTTGGTGCTGGCTCTTGACTTGAAATCTCCTTTCTGGTATCCAAAGCACAGTTGAGCTGGAAAAAGTTGTAATTAAGCGGTTGATACGGCCCAACGCCCATCGCAATACAAACCTTATGATCTTGAAGCTGATCAGCACAGGCGACAGTCTTTGATGATGATTTTTTGCCGCTATCTTCATTATCAGTTTGAAGAGCTTTTACCTTCTTCCAAGCTCCCTTCATGTGATGGAATCGCCTCATATGCATTCTGACATAGTTTTGATTTTTGAACTTACTACCGCATATTTCACAGGCAAACTTCCTTTCTTGTATATGCGAAGCCAAATGACAGTGATAGCTACTTTTTATGTATAATTGCACCGGGCAGTGTGGGCATTTGTACTTCGGATCCCTATGATTTTTTAGCTGTATTCAGAACACATAAGAATGAAAAGAAAAAAAAGTTGCTAGCAAAACTATAACCAACATACCTTATGATAACGGTATTGATTTCTACCAGGTACAGTCATTCCACATATACTACAAACAATCGGTTCGTGACAATTTTCAATGTGGCGTATCAGCTCCAATCTTTCCTGATAACATTTATCGCAGTGAGGACATTTCGTATCGGATGATTCGTTCGATGAATCTTCAACAAGGGGCTGTGGATTTTCTTCTGCAGTGACTTGGGATTTGCTAGAAGCTGCTGGCATACCGGAGTCCTTTTCGACATTATCGTTGGCTACCTCGTCTGAAATAATCAAACTAGGACGATTATTCTCAAATGGCTCCTCAGCGAGATGAGAATTTTGGGGTGAATAACATTTTATAAACGTATCAGTCTCCTCCTCGCAAGTTACAATCGAGTTCTGTTCACTAGCATCTACTAGATTTTGCAAATTTAGAACTTCGCGACTCAATGGAGCCGTTGTTTCCGCTGGCAAAGGAAGAGCTATGCTACACTTTTGATCCACGTCCAATCCATCGGAGCTCAAAGGTACCGTTTGTTCCCTAGCCTTACAATGATTCGCAGTATGATCAGTTTTTAGCTTTTGTGATCGGAAGCAATCGCCACACTCTGAACACCGCAGAAAAAAGCCATCGTGGTCTTCCTGTACGAAGAGGATGAAATTATGTACGATCAATTCAATTTAACTTCAAATTATTCAACACTCACGTGAACATGCTCCCAGAAAGTCACTTCCTGATAGCCACGTTGATCATTGCACAGTACACATTTGTGCAGTTTATGAGTGACCCGGATTTCTTTAAAGTGCAGTTGTTTACTTTCATCCGCAATCTGTTAATTGAATAATAATGCTCAATACACCACTCTGAACGATTAAACCCATTGTCCCTTGTTACCTCATGTAGATCCAAATGATTCCACATACCCTCCTTGCTAATATATTCCCCGGCACATACGGTACACTGAAAAACCAACCGTGCCATGCACGTCTCTCGATGCTCCTGCAATTCATCATCCTGATACTCCTCAAGGCAGATATCACACTCTGTTCTCCGATTCGTGTCTTCGTCTGGTACGACCCCATCTTCCGCGGATGCTTCACAACATTTTAGGTGCACCACGCACATTTCGCACAAATAATGCTGCAAGGGTATATATGCACAGATTGATATCAACGTTTCAAAGTTTAACGAAACGGGTAACAATCCCGACCGTCACTTACCAAAGCTAGATTGGAGCCACCTTTCTTGCAGAAAGTACAGGACATTTTATGTTGGTGGGTTTCGCCTATTGCCCAATGATTTAGCTTTGGCCAACCTCGCAGTTGATGGTAGTTTGTATCACTATTGTCACGATAGAACTGATCAGATTAAATTTTGTTTTTTTCTTAATATTTTGATTGATAATCTTGTTTTCCAAATTTTAGGAGCAATAAATGCAGTTAAAATCCGCAAAACCAAAATAATAAACAAAATCAAATCGGCAGGGGTGCGACAAACGCAAAAATCCATCAGAGACGTTTAAAAAGCTGCACGGATAGGCGAAACAACTCAAAATCGAGATTCTTCAATATTGACGAGTGCACGGATGGATTTGAGTTCACTCACTCGACAAAAAGTGACACAACAGCGGGGCCCTGTTTACTAAAAATGAACACATATGTGTTCATTTTTAGTTTATTGTTGTTTATTGTTTATTGAAAAATTCAACTGACAATTACTGTCTAAATGAATAAAACTTAAACTAAATAGTTACGGTCAACGGTACGGAAAAGGCCAAGTAGCCGATGACGAAACACGTCAGCTGATACATTGAAGTCGAACCTATAAAAAAGTTGTTGAATTGCCGGCTGATTGCTCGAATTGGCTCGTGTTGTGTATAATTCCGGCTCCGTGGTTCCAAAAACAGAAAGTCGCGTTGACGAAGAGACCTCTCAGGGGCATACATATTTAACTGTGACAGCAGTGTTGGACAGTCAATGTCACCTGTAAGCAGCTTTCCAGCGAACATAGCTTGAGCGACCGTCCGTCTCACCTCTAATGGCTCGATTTCCAGGAGACGGCAACGCTCCTCGTACGGTGGCAAGTTCGTTGAGTCACGCCAGTTGAGGAAACGAAGAGCATATCTCACAAACTTGCGTTGAACGGATTCAATTCTAGTGATCCAGCTAGCATGGAAAGGGCACCAAACAACTGAACTTGACTCCAATAAGGATCGCACAAGCGAGCAGTAAAGTGACCTGAGACATAGCGGGTCACGAAACTCGTCGGCAATTTTGAAAATAAAGCCCAATAGTCGATTAGCTCTGGAAATGATGTCATTGTAGTGGATTCTGAAAGTGAGTCTGCAGTCCAAGGTAACGCCGAGATCCTTTATGTGCTCTACACGAGCAAGACAGCGTCCGTAGAGAACATAGTCAAACATGATTGGTTCGATTTTTCGGTGATAGGAAATAATGTTACATTTTTCTATGCTTAGACTCATCAAATTTCTTGAGCACCAGTCAGCAAAAATACCGAACATATTCTGGAGATCCCAGCAGTCCGAGAGGCTTTTAATAATTTTTGTAGATTTTCGTATCGTCTGCATTGAAAACGCGGCATCCTGATGGTATCAGCAAGGCGACATCGTTTAAAAAGATCGAAAATAGTAGCGGTCCTAGGTTACTGCCTTGCGGGACTCCCGAGTTGTTTGAGAAAACATCCGATTCCGACGCGCCAATCTTGACATGTACATAGCGATTCACCAAGTAAGATCTGAACCAATCCACAGCAGTTGACGAGATGCCAAGTATCTCCAGCTTGGCCAGCAAGATATTATGGTCCACCGTGTCAAATGCAGCTTTTAGATCCATATACGCAGTATCGACTTGCCTTCCTGAATCCATGCATCGCAGACAGTTAGAAGTGAACTGCACCAGGTTCGTGGACACGGAGCGCTTCGGGTAGAAACCGTGTTGTTCTGTATCGATATAATTTTTGCAGCGTGCGAACAGAGCACCATTTATGATAATCTCGAACAGTTTTGAGCAGGCACACAGGGAGGTGATTCCACGATAATTTATGACATTCCGTTTATCTCCTTTTTTGTGCACTGGGAACAGATAAGAAAGTTTCCAGCGGCAGGGGAACTCACATTGCTGTGCCGAGAGATTGAATAGCCTCGCAAGTGGAAGGCAGAGATTGGCTACACAACGTTTTAGAACTGATGACGGAATGCCATCAGGTCCGGAGGCGAACGAGAGCTTCAGTTTGCGTGTTGCGGCTATCACCATGTCTTCTAAAATGCGCGGAATAACGAAACTAAACACATCACGTGGCATCCCAACAGCAGCATCCAGCACTTGTGTTGGCGAAGCGGAGAAATCGTTGAACACTTGCTTGAAATGACGAGCAAACAAGTCGCATTTTTCTCTTTCACTATTAGCCGAGTCATTCCCGAGAAACATGGAACAAGGCAACCCGGATTCCTTCCGTTTGGAGTTGACAAACGACCAAAAACTTTTCGGATTCGTGCGAAGGTTCGCTTCCGTGCGTCTCACGTGTCGATTATAGAGAAAACGATTGTAATTTCGGGGCCCCACTGTTGTGTCACTTTTTGTCGAGTGAGTGAACTCAAATCCATCCGTGCACTCGTCTATGCACGACGTGTAAATATCCACGGCGAATGAGAACGACCCAAGACAAATTTACTCATCGGTGAGTTCCTGCACTTTTGGCGATTATGAGTGAATAAACTCAAATTTGGGTCGTTCTCATTCGCCGTGTCGGTAAATGTACACTCTGATATATTAGTAGTCATCGATAGTTTACAATTTATTCATTTTTGTCATTCGCGAGGTTTACACGTAGCTTAGTATAAAAAGTATACTATCTTCAGTATATAGTTTAAACTAAACCGGATTTGTGCGAGTGTATTTTGACCAGTGTATTCTTTAGTAAACAATCATGTAGAAATGGAACAGTTTCTGTCATCTGCCGGCTGATTTTACGTGTAGCCGTTGTCTCGAGGTGCTCCTTCGTGTGCCAGATCCGGGACTGGTCCAATTATCGGGAGAACCTGCGTCAATGTACGAACAAAGTTGAAATTGGAAACGCTCAAGAAACACAAGAAGGTGGTGGTGGTGGATAAGCCAGGCGATGCTGGAAAAGGCAGAAGGGGAGATGTTCGGAGTGGTCGTCCAGTGCCTTCCGGCGGATCAACCGAAGCGATGCTGGGTAATTTTGGCAGGTTACGAAACTCAGTGCGACAAGCTGCTGCGTGACATCAATGGTCAGGTTAATCCGGAACGGAAATCGATAGGTACGATAATATACTGGTGGGTGACATCTATACGGCTCCGTATGAGGGCATCTACTACCGGGTGGTGATTTTGGAAAAGGTATGTATCGTGCGTTGAGCTTTTGAAGACAATAGCATGTTGCCGAAACTAATGAGTGATGGTATTGACTGATTTTTCAGATTGACTCTGCTAAATCTCTGGTCAAAATTTGACTGATCGACTACGGAAACGAATTGATTCTGCCGACTGCCGACCTACGTGCTCCGCTTCCGATGATAAAGAATCTTCGTGCGTTTGCATTTCTTATTGAGATTCAGAATCTGAATCGACCTCTTGAGTTGACCGAAGTCAGTCGGATTATTATCATTCGGTCGGAGAGCGATCGGAAGATTGTAGATATGGATCAGACGCGTTTAAGTTTGTTACATTGGCTTGGGAACACGACAGTCGGAGAGGGTAGAATCGTGGCCACTTTTTCTTCTCGGAAAGCGCTAGTTTTGCTGGCATCTGAACCGGCGATGCCAATCATGAAAATTTTGTACACTCAGTTACCGAAAGTAGCTACCAAGTTTCCATTGGCAGACAATTCAAGTGTCGGAGATTTATTTTTCGTAAAATAAAGTAAATTATAATCTTAAAATGTGGAATCATCTGAACGTCGAAAAATTGAATATGTGACTAGTTAAAAAGGGCGATTTCCAAAGCACTTCCATCGTATGGGAATGGCTCTTTTAAACAATTCACGTATCATTTCTGTCTGTGTTATTATCATATTTATGATCCTTTTGACAACCAAAACAAACTTAGGGGGCGTGGTAATCGTTTCTGGGATAAACCAGTATTAAACTACGCATGTACATTCAATAGATATACTATACCCCTTATACTTCAAGTTTATACTAGGCCTAGGGGAAGGACAGCTCCAAGTATCAGTATCAATACCGATAGTGGAAATATTAAATATTTTAATATGTGTGATATTTGCGAATCTTACACTTAGTCTGACAGTTGTTTTTTGTTTGTTTTTGACTATTTTTGTTTTAAGTGTACATTTGACATTCGTTTAATCAAAAATGTATTTCACACGAGAGACAAGTCATTCCTTTGTGATCTTGCTGGCCACCGCCACCAAAATCCGCTCCTTGTTCTCATAAATTCGGCATTTTTTGGTAGCTGTTCTCAGTGCACATAATCGGCCGCACTTCCATTCCCAGGAATTAATTTCCACGAATTCTTCATCGTCTGTGAACCACTGTGCTGTTCTCCTATGGAACGGGAATCGATTGACAACGCCGCCCCTGTTAACGGAAGCCCAGAGTGATGGTCCCGTGGTCGTATTATGCTCGATTCGCCATGAGAATGCAACTTGGAGAGATTTGTTGCTGGGGGAACGTCCAGTACCGTTTTTATCATGAAAAGCCGAAGTCGAAATCGATCAGAGCTATCGAAAACGAAAATCTAGGCAAAAATGAAAAGCCGAAGTCGAAATCGATCAGAGCTATCGAAAACGAACATCTAGGCAAAAAAGAAAGCTGCAGTAAACATAAACAACAACGGTGCAACGTCATTGAGTGTATGCGTTAAAGTTACACTGTTATTTTTTTTACTTTGAAGCTTTCCGCTTGACAGTTAATATCATTAATATTTATACTAAAAATTATAATATCTACCAATTTGAGCAATTTTTACATCAAATATTACTTCAGATCAAGTTGTACTTCCCCTAGTACTAGGCTCGTTTTGTAGGCAACTAAACGAAGTCTAGGGTCAACCAGGCGAATATCATTTTAGTGTGACTTTTATACTAATTAGTTTAAATTTGTTTCTGAGTGTACACCCGCATAAACGCGAACCATAAATTGACCTTACCTAAAATGGTTAAAAATTGTTTATAATCCCTGCTAAACTTTAACTGAAATGGTTATGGAACTTTACATGAACGTTTAATTATAAAGTTTCAACCTTATGTATTATGGTTTTTTGGAACTGGACCTTACAAATAATGGGTTGTTAAGAACCATTACCATTCCAAATTCTTGTTTTCTCCATACATTTTCAGAAAGAGAACTATATAAGAACGTTTTTACTTATGATTTGAGAACATTAATGGTAATGGTTATGGTAGTCAGTAAGGTCCACGAATGGTTTTGTATTATCGCTCAACTTTACGTGGAATATATCGTGAATTGGTAATCAGTAAATTACAGGCAACCAATTCGCGATATATTCCACATAAAGTTGATCGATGTTACAAAACCATTCGTGGACCTTACTGACTACCATAACCATTACCATTAAAGTTCTCAAACCATAAGTTAAAAGGTTCTAATATAGTTCTCTTTCCGAAAATGTATGGAGAAAACAAGAATTTGGAACGGTAATGGTTCTTAACAACCCATTATTTGTAAGGTCCAGTTCCAAAAAACCATAATACATAAGGTTGAAACTTTATCATTAAACGTTCATGTAAAGTTCCATAACCATTTCAGTTAAAGTATAGCAGGGATTATAAACAGTTTTTAACCATTTTAGGTAAGGTCAATTTATGGTTCGCGTTTATGCGGGCATCATTGACAAATCCTACACTGAAAGGAATTTTGCAGTAGAAATTACTATATTGAGGGTTTAAAATAAATGCAACGCACCTACGTTTTTTTGCTGACTACATTGTGTTTGGCAACAAGCACAAAGAAAGTAAAAAATACCATGTAGTAAAAAAATGCTATGTATGGTATTTTCAACAAAGACTGCATTATTTTTACTATGAAATTTTCTCGGGGTTTGTGCCCTGGCTTTTGAAGATTTTACTATGTAATAGTTGTTTATACTATTCTGTTTTACCTGCACTGTGATGATTTTTGTTTTTTCAATTAAACTCTGGATTTTATAGCACGCTCACTTTATTTATCATTCTTATACATAAAGACTATACTCCTACAAGTTAGACCGTATTCCGAGCCTAACCCAGATAAACAAAAACGGACACTCGCACCGCACTCCAATCGATCAGCATAAAATTATCACTGCTTTTTCCGAGGCTTTTTCCATGCCAGATTGAAAATCTCTCGTTCATTCCACACGCCGATGCAGCTTCTTTGTTCCGGTACATTTCACAGACATTTGTTTCCTAACTCTCGATCAACGAAAAGATGCTGCTCCTTGCCGTGGTGGATAGCTTTATAATTCCTACTGTAATATACGAATAAAAACAGATTATTTTGAAATGAAAAGTACAAATTTTCTACATCCTTACCTTGCAATGCGAAGTTTGATTTATTCTGTGGATTTATTTTCACCTCAAACCTCGCGAAAAAGCGTTACAACGACGTGAGAAAATAAAGCAAAGTGAAAACAGCGATTTCTTGTTGTTTACAAATGGCTTCCATCAAAACATTCGGATGTATAAAGAATACCATGAATATGGTATTTACAACCGCAACATATTATCAGCAAAAAACTGTCGGTGCGAAGCTTTCTATTTTACTACAAATGCGGTTGAAAACAATCGAAGAAAATGGGTCGTGTCCACAGTCACATGCCGCATGGTAGATTCAAACATTTTAACGATTACTATTAGCCGAAAATCTCAACTACGGTTAATTGTTAAAAATACTATATAATTTCTTGCTAGTGCATGGTACTTTCTACAGAAATGCACTAAATACAATAAGAATTGTCGTAATTTCAACTATTTTATGACATGGTTAAAATAAACATAGTTTTCTTGCATTAATTACTACACAATTATGCTCAGTGTAGGGTATTAACATAGAGGTAACTCTAATGGCGGTAAGCTCCAACTCGGATTAACTTTTAATACCGTCCCTGTTTGTATGATCTGAAAAATGTTTGCTCAGAATTATGTTGATTAACTCTGATGTCGACATCAAACCAGCCGGACATTCTTGATCGGGATTTAATCCGAGGATAATACCGGTTGGAGCTTACCACCATAAGACAAGTAGGTCCCGAAGAAACGTGCTCAACTTTTTGGCTCACCTCTGGTACTATCTTCGGTCCCAAGCTTGTCGAATCACCCCTCGAAACATAGGAAAACCAATAACCCCTCATTTTATCTGTCAAACTTTCATAGCGAATCAAAACAAACATTGCGTAGTACTAGAATTTCGACTAGAATAGGATACGTTAATCGTTTACTTGGGACCAATAGGCTACTAAAGGTGTGAGCCAATTTAAAATCGTTAGTTTCGTATTGATTGTTGGTTATATTAAGCAGTTTCTTATGGTTATTTTTATTAGGGTAGAAATTACTCTCTCTCTCTCTCTCTCTCTCTCTCTGGGTTATTCTAAGTTTCCGTGTACTAATTACTTCAAAATGGGTAAAATTGTACCCATTAATGGGGACTTTCGAGTTACAGTGCGTGTATATTTTGTTTTGACATGTTTATGTTTTGTTGGTCGTCTGGAAAAATACGATTTCGCTTTTATTTTGAGTGCTTGTAGTTTTTGTAAAAAAAAAGTGATTCTAAGCTATCTACGGTAAATTCCATACCAGAATAATTATAAGTAACAAGTGTCCTCTCAAATCTTCAGTACAAGATTATCATTACGCATTCCGCACACTTTAGTGTAAGTGCGGAAGCGCTCATAAAATTTAGCTTTACGTTAAATCGTGTTGATACCTATTGTAATTGCAATCGATTTAGGTAAACGTAATCCTGGTGAATAAACCCTTATGGTGTCTTCGACGCACTTATTCCTTGGGTCGTAAAGAAAAAGTCCACAGAAGACATCAAGACGATACAACTTCAAAGCGCACTTTTATTTGAGGAGTTCAGTTTCAACTGCAAAATACAGTATCAATTTCCAGCAGTGCAACCGCGGAAAATAGGTTGACTACCAACACCAAGAGGATAATACCAGAGGACGACGACGACGAGGTAGAGATGGGTGAATGCGATATCTGCCTTGAGGGGTACCAAAAGGATGAACTGCAGGAGCACCGAGACACATGCATGGCACGGGTAATTTTTCGGTGTGCCGTTTGCAACGGAGACTACGTGAGCATGGAGGGACTGTGGAATCATTTGGTTGAGCATGAGGTAAAGAGTGGGATTCTACTATTTCATGTTCTGGGAACATATGAAAGACTTTTCCACTTAATAGATTCCAAATGAAAGTAAAGATTTGTACTACGAGGAGATAAGAGTAACTTACAACTTGCATAAATGTGTACTGTGCAACGATCAACGTGGTTATCCGGAGAGTGTGTACTGGAACCACATTCACGTAAGCGATTGATTTTAAATAAGATTGAATATCGACTGCCTATTGTTTAGTTCACTCTCTACAGGAAAATCACGATGGATTCTTTTTGCGGTGCTTGGAGTGTGGGGAAAACTTTAGATCTGAAAAACTAAAGACTGATCACACGCTTAACCATTGCAAGACAAGGAACTCATCGTACTCTGGTGGATTGAACAGTACAGTCGTACAGGTAGAACTACCGCAGAAAAGCCGGAGCATTGTGTCGGAGAAGAACAGAGAAAGGTCATTGGATACAAAACAACTCAATAGTGGTATATGCCGTTCGAGATGTGATTTGTGTTATCGTGTATTTACCAAATTGAGCAACTATAACTACCATATGGTAAAGTGGTCGAATCAAACAGTACTGAACCTTTTTTTTTATTTTCAAATTACCACTCTTGCAGCTCACCTTCCACTCGGCTCCACAGCATCAGTGTCCACAGTGTTCGCAGAAATTTCACTTGGAGGACACCCTTCAACGCCACATAATTCAACATGCAGAAGAAAAATGCAAAGCGGAATCGGAATCCGTTGGTTCCAGTGGGTGCAGCTCAGCTTTGGGTCAAGGGAATGAATCAAATGTGCTTAAAGAAGAGGATGAACCGAATGCTGCCAACCATACTGCCATGAGTTCTATTCAAGAAGATGAAAATTCCCAAATTCGTAACAACGCATCTGAGGAGGATAATTGCACCAGTTTAGATGGTCTTGAAAAGAATGAATCCGAGTGGATTCTGAGTTCTAGCACACAAAGCTCATGTGAATCTTCCAATGTAAAGTGTACTCACTGTAGTAAAGAGTTCTTTAGTGAAACGTCGCTCATTAATCATATTGATAGGTTTCATAAATCGATTACATGTGATATCTGCGGAACTAGTATAAGTGGTAAAAAACAACTATGTTTTCATAAGGTTCGTTGGCCTAAGATGCTACTTTAATTTATTGTAATATATTTTTTTATCTTCCAAAACAGCTGACATATCACACAAAACCGCCGTACAAATGTCGCGACTGTCCAAAACAATTTCATCATGTGGGCTTCTATCAGCGGCATTTGCTCAAGCATCTAAACGAAGGAAAGTTCTGTGACTCATGTCGTCAGACATTCAACAATTCATACAATTTTGATTTGCATAAGGAACAAAACCGTTGTGTCCAGGACGAGGTTCAACAGCAAAATCCACAGAGTGAATTATCTGAAACAAAGTGTCCCCATTGTAACAAACAATGTTTCCATGCAAAATATGTCGTTCGTCACATTGAAAATATCCATCAGCCGATGTCATGCGATGTGTGTGAAGATACCTTAACTGGTAAAAATCAACTTCGATACCACAAGGTAAGTGGATTGAAATTATTGTTTTAAATTATATTATAACGTGAGCTTGATCTTACACAGTTGAGAACCCATTTGAAACCGAATTACAAATGTCCTTATTGTCCGAAAAAGTTCCGCAAGAAGAATTTTGTTCAGCGTCATCTATTCGAGCATCAGCGCGTTGGAAGGTGTCCATGCAAGGTTTGTGGTCGCAAGTTTAAAAATTTAGCAAACCTCAAGGAACACATGAAACGGAACCATGGTGTGAAGATTGCTCAAATTAGTCCCACAGATCACAGCGATCGACTCGGAAAGGATGAACACGTTGCAGTCAAGGAGAAAATATCGTTGCTGAAGAGTGATGAAAATCCAGTTTCGGAGGACGACTGTGAGAAAGCACCTACAAGTGGTGAGAATTCCGGTGACGAGAATCTTCTCGTTCAACACGTTGAAGAGACCCATCAATTGGTCATTTGTGAGATATGCGGAATGACCTTCGCCAACGCTGATTTGCTGCAGCATCACAAGGTTTGTAAAATTAGCTTTTTAAATTGAAAAGGGTCCTTGTAGAGAATAATTGTTAACAGCTTATTATAATGTCTTTCGCTCTCTAGAGCAGGAGTCTAATGAAGTACAGCACAATTCTAAAAAAATTAAGTCCTAAAAATTGGAAATTTTTCTTGAAGATTCCAACTGCACATTCAATATGTTTGTTGGATTTGTTTTAATTAATTAATATTTTCTAATTGCTGAAAATCACACAAGTACCCCAATAAACAATTGTTTCTACAAATTAAACGATAGAGAAACAATCACCTCTCAGAATAATATTGCACGAAGGTTTATTTTCTACATATAATACCTAATATCTGTAACAATTACTAACAATCTTAATCTTCATAGGAAAAATGCCATTCAGAACCAAACTGTAACATTAGCAAGTGTGAAATTTGCGATCTCCGATTTGAAGAAACACACGAATTGCAGAGTCATATGGAGAGTGATCATAATACCGTCCAAGGATCACCTGCTGCAGAAACAACGGAACAAACAAACCCAAAGTTTCAGTGTCCCCACTGCCCTAGAGAATTACACACAAAAGTCAGCTACATGAATCATATGCGATTTCACAAAAAAGCGAAAATATTCTCGTGTAGGTTCTGCACTGTTAAGTGCAAACGTTTAGATGACCTGAAAGCTCATATACAGCGTCAGCACGGTGGCGAAATCAACAAATGCAAGGACGTTATTCCTGTTCAACATGATAACACAGACCAGAAAAGCTGAAACAAAGAACAAGGAACAACATTAGAACCAGAATAGTACAACAACGAGAGCGTACGTTGAAAGGAACGAATCAATTTATAGTGACACTGCGACTAAAAGTTCCATAACAAGTAGTACTTTCGGGCATACCGTATGTGGAAATCCGTTTGACAGGAACAAAGATGTTTCCACAGACAAACAGACATAACACTCGCAAGTTGTTCATCGAACAAACATTTAACGGACAATTTAAAAGCATCGTAGTTGGTAGTACCGCCACTAGTGGCGCGCATAGTCAATCCCCTTGCGTCTGACGTTTAAACACTGCCGCCATCTGTTCAGCGTAGTGCCCACCACTACTCACAGTGTACTCAACAGATGGCGGTAATGTTTTAATGACGATGTTTTACAGTGAGAAATACTCAATGTGTTATGTCTGTTTGTCTGTGATGTTTCCATAGATCACCGTAGAGGACACTTTATAAGGTAAATTGTGTAGGAATGCAATAAGAGCAAACTAGAAAAGAATATAAATTTTGAAACTTATCTCGTATTAAATATATTTTGATCTGTAGTAGGTGAAGTTCTTAAATTATGTGGTGCTTACATATTTTGTGAAATATCCATTGAGTCTCATCCCACCAACACCAACTCAGATTTCTTGAATGCCATAGTAAATTCTCCCTAACTCCTCTTAATTTAAATGATACCCTTCTTGGGTTTTTTTTTATTTTATTAGGCAGGTAATTTAGTGAGAAGTGAGATCTGCAATAACATTTAAAGCTAACATTCCATTTTTTTTTTCAGTTACAGTACAAAAACTTTAAAAAAAAAACAGACCAAAACCTTTGTACCGTTAGAAGTTTACAGACAACTTTGGAAGAAGCCTACAAGTACACCACAGAAAGATCTACAGAAAGTCCTCAGGAAGAACTGAAGGAAGCTCACTAGAAGATGGGAAAGTTTATAAGTAGGTCTGTAGATCTGGAAGAAAATCTGAAGGAAGCCGATAGGAAGAGCTGGAGGAGGTCCACAGAAGGATCTGGAGATAGTTCACTTGAAAGTGTCCAATAACTTTGAGGAAGTTCTGGATGAAGTCCACAGGAAGATCTGAAGAAAATCTACAGGAAGAAATGAAGAAAGTTCATATGAAGATCTAGAAGGAGGAATAAAACAGCAGCAAGTCCATAGGAAGATGTTGCGGAAGTACACTGGAAAATATGGAAGAAGTCCATGGAAAGATCTGGAAGAAACCCACAAGAAGGATGAAATTCAAAGGAAGATCAGAAGATTTTGAGAAAGTTCACAGACAAACTTGTAAAAAGTCTACAGGATCACCACAGGAAGATTTAGAGGAAGTACACTGAAAAATCAGGAGGGAACCCACACGAAGATCTGAAAGAAGTCCACACAAAATGCACTGGAAGATCTGCAAGAAGGTCTAAAGAAAATCGGTAGGAATGTTCACATGGAGATCTGGAAAATGTTCACATCATAATCAGGAGAGATACTACAAGAAGATCTAGAAAAAGAACACAGCAATATCTGCAGGACGAACTGGAACAAGTCCACAGGAAGATCTAGAGGATGTTCACAGAAAGATCTGGAGGCAGTCCACGGGAAGATCTGAAGGAAGCTCACAGAAAGATTTGACAGAGGTCCACAGAAAAATCAACAAAAATCCGTTAGAAGATCTGGAGGAAGTGCACTGGAAGACATAGAAGAAGTCCACTGGAAGATCTAGAGGAAGTGCACAAGAAAATTTGGAGGATGTCTATTGGAATATCTGGAGCAAGTCTACAGAAAAATCTAGAGAAATTCAACGGGGCAATTTATTATGCTCAGAGTGATCTGTAGAAAGTGTATAGTTCACTGAACCATCAGGAAGATCTGAAGGAAGTTGTTCATAGGGAGATCTAGAAGAAATCCACAAAAAGATTTGGAGAAAATCCACATGAAAATTTGGAGGAAGTCTATTTGAAGATCTCAAGGACGTCTATTATTATTAACCTAATTAGGTTCTGCAGCGTGACGTCACAAATGAACTCAGTGTTAAACGGCTGAACCTTTTTGACAGTTCAGTGGTACTGTTTACAAGCACTTAGTCGTTTTTTCGAGAAAATTTTTTCTAAAGTTTCTGAATTTTAACTTGAAAATTGTCGAGGAACAGCGCGTTGCAAGGATGTTGCTCGTGAACATTGCAGAAATGCTGTTTACATCTCACTGCAGTCTAAAAAATTATCGAGAAAATCCACCCAAGAAAAAATCGACTAAGTCCACGTAAACAGTACCACTGAACTGTCATCAGATTGAGGTTAACCCCGACGGTGCAAAACCTAATTGAGGTAACGCTAGGATAAATTCAAAACATTGAGAAATATTACGCATCACTTTCAGAAATACTTCACTTCGCAACCGATGAACCATTCTGACGGCCATATGAGTACCCAAGTAACCATATAGTCGCAATATAGCTTGTATATTCTTACTTTGCTTGAGTATGGTTAGTTGGGGAATCTGATGAAGCTGTCACTTCTTGAAACTGATCCTTTCGTATTTCTTTCATTGTCCTTTCGCAAACGGAGCGCTCGATGGACCAGTGACTTTGGGCGTGAGCCTCTTCCCAGATCACCATGGCAATTCAATAACATATGGTGGACATCAAACCGACCAAAAAAGGCGGAATCATATTAGAACCAACCAACCAAGGACGGTCTACGGAAGGAAATTGCTGGTGAAGCACGGAATGAAATACGAAGCGTTAGAGAAAAAGTCCAAGGGATTCCAAAAGAAGCAAATAACGACGGCGGAAAGCAGAATATAAGGTGAGAGCTTTCCATTTATTAAAAAAAAAAAATATCAAAATTACACTAAATAGGGGAATTTACGTATTTTCGGCAACCTAAGCAGCGACGATCTTTCTATAGCCTTTTTCTCTAAGGAACGCACACATATGCAGTATTGGTTTGTTTACAATCTTTTGCTGCCAGCTGCTCTAACAATTTCAGTCGAAAGAATTGTCAAAAACTGTTTTGAGACGCTTTTACAAAGCTTCAATCTTCTCTAGTGAGAGCGAGTATTGTCGGCAACCAGTTTTTCTTCGGCAACCGTTCCATTTAAACTGCATGTAAATCTGCTGTTCTATTATCGGCAACTCGAAATCAGCTACAATTTGTAGTGCGTGTGTTGTATTTCAAGAAAACCTTGCTAGATTGCTTTTTCTCAGTGGTCAAAATATAGTCAAATTGAAGCTGAAAGCATAAAGAATCGTTTGTATGCATTCAGCGAAGTGTTTTCGTAAGAAAATCCAGTGAAAATAGTGTTTCAATTTGGGTTGCCGAAAATAGTCTGTCATGCCGAAGCCGTCATTTCCCCTACATGCCAGGGTTGAAAAGAATATTTTCGAACCCGGAAGTGTGTATGTATCACCATTATCCATTTGATAACGGTGATGCATACATGCGGGGCTTATTGTGAGTGAAAGTAATCTCGGAATGGGCGTGACTCTCCAGACATTCTGAAATGGGTTGCTGGATCTGCAATGGAGCTATCACCTTCTAACTCCCGGACTAAAGCTGCCTACAATGACCATAAATGCGACATTGTAGAGAGAGTTCTTCCATAATAACACTGCCGGCCAGTGGGGGTTAGAGGGAATACACATACACACACACACACCGCCGTTCCAGTAGACTTTCTGATAACTTTTCCAGATATTCATGAGGATGTCCTCCAGATTTTCCTATGAGTCGTGACTGGACCGAGGTTTCCAGCCTCGGTCATGGCTTCACGAATCTCGGGAAAAGCCAATGAAGCGTGGCGTGAAGTTTACGATTTTCAGAGTTGGTTGGAGGCGGCGGGTTCGATTCCCAGCCCGGCCCAGTTTATTCTCATATGAATTTCTGCTTTGTTTATAGTTACATTCAGCACCATTAACACCAGAGGTATACCAATTTATCTTGCAACCCTTGCTAGAAGCCAGGATTTCAATGACTTTTACTTTTGATTCGATTTACGTGCAAAATAATAATTGATTGATTAACGGCGCCGGTGGTGTAGTAGTAAGCGTGATTACCTCTCACCCCAGCAGGCCTGGGTTCAATCCCAGTCGGCGCCGCCGGGATGTTCTGAGGCATAACATCTCTGATCACGCCTTCCTTCGGATGGGAAGTAAAGCCGTTGGTCCCCGGTTCATGAGTTGATGGGTCGATAGGTAGGGTCCAGGTGTGGGAGCTGCCTTCCTGGCACGTCGGTAGCATTGGTGCTCAGCACGGAAAACAAGATCGACGGAAAAAACAAACCAAAGGAAAAAAAAAAAAAATTGATTGCATCGCTATATTTTGCACATTTCTTCGTGCTATTAATTAACCAACTAAGATCAATTAATTAATAGAATTAAAATATTGCTTTTGCTCCACAAACTAGTTGAAATTGAGAAGCACACGAAACATCAAGGTGATTGAATTTCTGTTCGATTGCATACTCTCACATTTAAAGCCTGGTACGCAGCTGAAAAGTAATGACGTTTTTACGTGCTACGGGATAGGACACGGAATGCTAAAGAAATTATTTTCCTTTAGCATTTCTTGACCCAGTACGCAGTTCTAAAGAAATCGGTAAAGAAAAGATCGATTACATTAGTATCGTGATCGATATGAAGGTGGCGCATTCTGAATGCAATTTCATTTTCCTTGCGGAATAATGGTCTGACCAATTATTCCGTTAGGTAATTTTAACGTTTGTTGTAAAAATGATGTTTTGGATGCATTTTGACAACATAAAAAATTATTATTTGTTGATTTTAAAATTAGACGACACCTACCTATGAACTCAGCAAAAGACACCTCCCTATAGCTGTCAAATTTACTTTTGGGAATATTCCTCAAAAATTACTTTTCCGTTTTCTTTTCAGCTGCGTACCAGGCTTAATCTAGTAAAAATGATAAATCATCTGAAAAATTCCAATTGGAATGTTCGTTTGGCTCAGATTTTGACAGTTCATTTGGCTCAAAACATTCTCTCCGCCCAACTCTCCCTCTGAGTATTTCTAGTTTTGAACGGTTGGTGGAACCGAAGCTGAATGTAAACAACAATAACATCACAAATTTCTGTAAAATGCTACTCTTTTTATTGTAACTAATTTAGCCAAACTGTGGATAAAGTCAAGTTAGACTGAAAAATATGTGTGCAACAGCATGTTCTTTTTGTAAGAAAAGTGCTTCTAAGCTAGTCACGGTAAGTTTGGCTCACAAAATTTGTGTAATACAATGACCTTTCTCAACTTTATTATTATTTGAACATTAACTTCGCAGCATTTTTTATGCGACTGCTGTTTGGTGCATTTGGAATGCTGCGAAGCAACTCCGGAAAACAATTGGTCCGGTTTCGCAAAGTGCATCATCCCGGATGAAGATGCGAATGGGATGGTCGATTGCGAAATCTGCCTTGATAAGTACCCGGAAGATGAATTGAAGGAGCACCAGGAAACGTGTACGGCACGATTGGTGTTTCGATGTTCCGTTTGCGACGGAGACTACGTGAGCAAGGAAGGACTGTGGAATCATCTGGATTTCCACGAGGTAATGGAGTTGTGGAATTACTGTTTTTATCGTCACGCGTAATCTCGGATGTTTATCTGAAAAAAAAACAAGATTGCAGATGAAAGCAAAGAATCGCACTACCAGGAAATGAGAGCCACATATAAGCTGTATCAATGCGTACTGTGCAACGACCAACGAGGTTATCAGGAGAGCATCTACTGGCGGCATGTTCACGTAAGTCTCGGTTTTGAATTAGTAGAATGTAGTGATCGCACACCTCCAACTGCTTTACATTATAGGAAGATCACGATGGCTTCTTTCTGCGGTGCTTGGATTGTGGAGCAAACTTCCGATCTGAGAAGCGAAAAACAGACCACGCTCTCAGCCATTGCAACACTAGGGAACAAATAGAAGCGTCAGACTCTACTGGATCTGAAATGTCCACGAAATATCGTGAGCAGAAATCTGCGAACCGACCAGAGAAATCTAATTTTCACAAAAACAATGGTGATCTTACGAACGTTGATTATCAGTTCAGTGAAGATCCATCGATAGGTAATTGTGATGGTGGTATAGTTGATAATGATACCAAGGAGTTCAAAATTGAAGGGGAAATCTCACAGCAAATGCCCACCGTATCAACCGATAAAAAGTGTTCATACTGTGATAAAGAGTTTAACGATGCAATTATCCTTGCTCGTCACATTGAATACTGCCATCAGCCGTTCACGTGCGACATCTGCGGAATGACTGCCGAGAAAAGAAACCAAATCCGGTATCATAAGGTTTGTAGAAATTTTGCTATTGCTTTTCAGCTTCATAACGGTACCTTTTTTCCAAACAGCTGATAACTCACACGGAACCGAGCTACAAATGTTCTGGTTGCCCGATGGTATTCCACTTCAATTCTGCATATCAGCGTCATTTGACCAAACATGAAAAGGAAAAAAAGGTTCCCTGTGCATTATGTGGTAATAAATTCAAAAGTAAACCCGGGCTTGCGTGGCACATGAAGCGATTCCACAATTTGAGTCAAGCTACAGCTGAACTTGACACGGACTGCAACGAGCAAGAGCAAGAAAACGGAAAAGAACTACTAGCCGATAATATTCTACCGAAAAAGGAAATTACTGTAACGGAAACATCTTTTCAACTTGTAGTTCATGATGTTTGTCCAGCGGTAGATGATAAACCTTTACAAGTAGATGAAAAAATTCACCAACCATCTGAAGAGAGCTCATTTGTGACCGACGAGAAGCAATCGTGTGAGTCTCTCAAGGTATCTCAAATCAAACAGGATATACCTGACGGAACAAGTAATATAAAGTGCACTTACTGCCCAAAAGAATGTCACGATAAAAAGGATCTCAGTCGTCACTATATCTATTGTCACAAGCCAACTGAGTGTAAAATATGCAAGAAAACGTTCAATGGCACATCAACTTATCGGTATCATAAGGTTTGTCTTAACCAAAACAATTTGCTTCCATTTAATAATGCCATTCTTGTCGTTCAAAACAGTTAATAACTCACACCGAACCGCGACACAAATGCCCTCATTGCCAGCAGTCGTTTCACCAGAAAATCGGCTATCGGCGTCATTTATCTGTACACCAGAAACAAAGGGAGACGCCCTGCGACTTGTGTGAACTTAAATTCAAAAATTTAGACCATGTTAAATTGCATAAGAAACGGGTTCATAGCGCGAAGAAGATGGAAGAGAAAAAGATACCCTGCGAAAGGTCCTCGCCCTTAACCGGTTGTCCTCTCTGTGGAGACAATTTCGATGATGAACATCTGCTAAGCCAACACGTCGGAACGGTTCATCAGATGACCGTTTGTACTTGTTGCGGGATGACTTTCACCAGCACTCGTCAGCTTAAAAATCACAAGGTTAGTATTGTATTGCTCTTTCCATTTGCAACATTAGGGTGTCTCTAACCTGGATCCATCTCAACACATAATTAACCTACTGTCAACGTACGTACTTATTTAAGCGTTTCATGTGCGTAACAATTGAGCACGATAAACAGTTACTATAAACTTATCATTTTCTGATTAAAACTACCTACGTTCTTCATCTTAGCCCCAACAATCGTGACTGACGCAAAAAAAACTTAAGAATTTTACTTATGATTTTTCGCCACAAACATCCTAAGGAGCGGGAAAGGGAGAAGTGAAAAGTCAAACCTCCAGTATTTTAGTAGTATATGAATGGGGTTTTGGATTAGCATTGCATTCTCAGTGTGCAAAATCCGGCGAATCCATATTTTTGAGGACAATAACGGCACCGGCCACGTCCTTACGGTCATCGGGAAGGGAAAGGATTGTTATTTCGACACCCGTTATTACCGAGTATGCCACTGCATCTCAACGGTTGTCACGGGAAGGACGTTTTGTTAGAGGAAGGGTGAATTAAATCTGGATTCGCATTAAAATGTGATGCGATCTTTTAAAGCCTGGTAAGCAAATGACGCGACCTTATCAAAACTAATAGCGAATTTGTTTATTATCCAGGTTGGAACCAGTTCCAACCCATTCGAACCCGAGTTTATTATCAGTGCGAACCTCAACCCGAGCCAGATTACAAAAACAAACGTTTACACTGACGTTTGACAGACAATCTTGATACTCGATCCAGATTGGAACTGAATCAAAAACAAATTCGCTATAAGTACTGTAAAGGGACTTGGGTTCTAACCACGATCTTCTGCTCAGTTAGCAAAAACGGTCGCTCTAAGGCCACCGTGCTCCTTACATCATAACAAGCTACGACCGACGATCGTTCATCATCGGTTACAAGAAAGCAGTTAACAATGTCTTCCGAACCTGACTGAAATTCCAAACTCAACATACGCCTCTAATCGCAACAACCGAACTACACACGACACGCAAAAATCAAGATCAGTGATAACAAATGTATAAGCATGTCTCCCAACTGGAACAAACCTCGGAACAAACTCACCAAATCCAGTCATAATCGATGTCCAATGGGGTGGTTTCACACATTTTGAATTCAAACTGCACCACATCTGCACTCACTTGGTTCATAAATGGCTGCAAACGACCCGGATCATGCTCAGTTCCTCGACGAAAAGATGCTACCATTTTTTTCATCTGGCACATAGGCCCCTTTCACATGTTGCACTGGATTTGTAGTCGTTCCAAAGCATTTCCCATTCACACACCACTACATCTTTTTGCTACTTTTCGCCCTCTGCAACTGCCTCATGCAAGTCATAGATCTCATTGGTACAGGCCGCCACTACCGAGTGTGGAAATCTGGATTGATATTTTCAATAATTGTATGTGAATGTCGCCATACATTCTCAAGTCGATTTTCCACCAGCCCATATACGATCAAAGTGGTGGCGGGTGCTGTCAGAAGCAATACGAAGGACCAACCAAGCTACCCTGAACCGAGTTAGATAGTTGATGTAACACTGTACAGCAAGTCAAGTTTCACCGAAGGTCTTCGGACCAGAAATACAAAACTCTACACAACTCAGTGAGTGAATTGTCATGTTAGCTCTACATAGTGAATTGAAAATGAATAAACTAAATTCAGTAGGAAAATTTTATCACACCCACCATCCTGGCAATCCAGGAGATCCACCGGGCTAGTGTCGGTAAGATGAACCGTGCTCTTGGGGGTCAATATCAATGGATCCTTAGGAGGAACGAAAACATTTTCCACTCTGCGGCAATTGGGGTGCTAGCCACGGTACCTTTCACATCAATTCAGTTAGACACAGATCTGCCAATCGTGGCGATCAGGATAGAGCATTCATTACCGATGTCCGTTGTCTATCCCGTGTGGAAATACCAGATCTTACAAACCAACTCTCAAATATACTCCAGAGCGTCGAGAGTCCCATCCTAGTACTAGTGGACATGAACGGCTACCATCCCGCTTGGGGCAACCCAATTGAAAATACCAGAGGCTCCACTCTGATGGAAGTGGCCAGAAAACTGGATCCTGTCGTTCTCAATGATGGAGGCACCACATATACCAGTGGTCAGAGAGCAACATCTATAGATGTGTCCCTTGCTAGCACAAACATAATCAGCAGACTCCTCTGGAGCACCAAGGAAGATCCCATGGGTAGTGATCATCATCCGGTGGTAATTCGACTTGACGACCAGCCACAAGCATTTCACGTAGACCAGGTTGGAGGTATGAGTTGGTTGACTGGTCACTTTTCCAGGAGACTATTAGAGTTACTTTTACCAACTCGACTCCGTACAATATTCAGGATTTCATCAGCTCTGCCTACCAAGTGGCAACCACATCAATCCCGCGGACAAGTCCCAACCCGGGAACCAGGTCGTTACCATGGTGGTCTCCTGAGACAAAAGCTGCTGTTAAGGCCAGAAGATAGGTTTTAAGGGCAGCTAAACGACTGCCCGCGGACCACCCCTTGAAGGAAGCGGCTCAAACTGCATACAGAGTTAAACGGAACGAGTGTAGACAGACCATCCATACCGCCAAAAGCTTGAGCTGGGAGAATTTCCTCGACGGTATTAACGGTGGATAGACGGCTTCTGTCCTATGTGGTAAAGTCAATGCGTTGAGCGGTAAGCGAAAGTACCGTGGCATGGCTATTCGAATAGACGTTTTAATAACCAGAGACCCCGACAAAATTGCACATGCTATGGGGGAGTACTTTGCAACTCTTTCGGCTCTTGAAGGATATGATGACCACATCCGTCGCACAAAAAATGCGACAACGCATTCGCTGGATAATTTCCACATCCCGTAGGACGATCTACCACTGGAAATTAACCAACCTTTCGGGTCAAGAGAGCTTGACTTAGCCTTAGCCGGTAAATCTGTTGGCCCGGATAAAGTGGGATACACTCTGTTAAAAAAATCTGCCACTGGAAAGCAAACGTACCCTTCTCAGCCTCCTCAACAGCGAGTGGCTAGGAAATACTATTCCGGAAGAATGGAGGCACAGTCTAAAGGGTGTCCACGATGAAATTGCCACACACAAAATTGATTCGCAAAATTCGAGTTTTCATCCGATTGCCATCAAATTTTCAGGGATTGAGAAATAACTATTAAACTTCATTTTACCATTTTACTCGTATTTTATTTACAGTCCATACGTAAATGCCCGCACCTTGGCCTTAACCCCGGCCATAAGATTCTGCACAACCTGTGAATCAACCGTTTTTTGCATGTAAACCCATACTTTCTTCAGTTCCTCGACTGTCTTCACTACCTTAGGTCGTTTACTCTTTTATGTACACCTGTCCGTTCATCGTGTCCTGGGTCACGAAAGGTGCACTCCGCTTCCCACACGTGCAGATGGCTTGCCAAACCAGGAATTTCTTCGCAAATTTGGACATCTTCTGAGTGCGGACATGCTCTGGAACGCTGAACTTATCCTTGGCCGTGAAAAACAGGTTACCGGGGATCTGTTTGAAGTCGGCCTTCACATATGTTTCGTCGTCCATGATGCAGCATTCAACTTTCGTCAGCATGTTGAGGTACAACTTCCTGGCACGGGTTTTGGCGGACTTGTTCTGCTTCTCGTCGCGATTAGGGGCCTTGTACGTACCTTGTACCTTGAACGTTCGAAGCCCAGCCTTAGTTTTGGCCTTCTGGACAAAACTTCGGCTTAGGTGCAGCTTCTTAGCCACATCCCTAACGGAGGCGTTCGGATTTCGGTTGAAGGCCCCAACTACGCGGTTGTGATTTTTGGTGTTGTACGGAATACTTTTTCCTTCACTTCTGGGCTTCCGATCGGTGGTCAACCGTTCCTCGAACCGCTTAATCACTCGCGACACCGTGGAATTCGCGATTCCCAACGTTTTAGCGATGGAACGATGCGAGAGATCCTTGTTCTCGTGATGAATGCGCAAGATTTTATCACGCACGAGCTGTTCTTTCGACTCCATTTCTGCGAGTTTTGATCACAGGACTTTAAAACTTGCAGGATGTAAATAATGCACTATGAACTAAATCCACCCAAATTTTCATTAAATTCTACCCAACGGTTAAAAAGTTAGAGCAATTTCATAGTGTGGCAATTTCATCGTGGACACCCTTTAGTTGGAATACTCACTCACATCTGTCCGCATACATCCGATGAACCACCATGTACTCCGCTCTCCAATCAGCATTGATGAAAGAATCATGCCCTTCAGAGGTCTATCCGCATCCTCTGCCTACGACTCGATAGGCATATAAACTTTGTCGACCACTTTAATGAGGTGAAAAAGAGCTGCCAAACGAGGATTGGTTTACTCCGAACACTGGCCAAAAGACACTTAATGAACAACCGTGCTATTCGTATGCGTGTAGCAAAAACGGTAGTTGATTCCAGACTGACCTACGGTTTAGAATTGACTGGCTGCTGATCCGGAACACAGTCCAACTTTTACACCAGAAAGGTCCCGGCCCAGAACATAAAGTAGTGGATCACAATCACTTTATGGAACTCCTGGACTAACGAATGGATGCAATCTCGAGACTTATTTATCCGGAAGGTAAAAGGGGATACCAGGAAATGGGAGGATCCACCTGAACACCGACTTCAAATCATTCTAACCCTGTTGAGAACCGGTTGAGCCATACCAAAGCCTCCCACAACCTGGGAGGCGGATTCAGAAGACAGTGCGATACGTGCAATGTTCCACTTACAGTGGAGCATTTCTTATGCGAATGCCGCCACTATCACGGGCCCCGTTCCCTTTACGGGATTTCAGGCAGCATCAGGGATACCCTGAGGGATGACCCATCCAGCATCGCTGCAGTTTTCTGCTTCCTTCAGGAGGCAGGTCTGATTAACCAAATTTGAACTATGAACACCCAAGCAACGACAACGGAAAATGATCCGGACCAATATATGGACTCAAAACTATGCCTCGGCAACAAATACTGACTCGGACACGGATGTTCGAAGACATCGAACCAAGCAAAGCACATACAAGGACACGGAAATGGACGAATGACGACACTAAAACTAAACACAGCGACTACAAAGGAACATGACACGGAACTTGACCACTTGACCACGATTATTCAAAAGGACAGTAACATCGGTAGCATTAAAGGAAAATTCCCAACTCTGAAATATTGAAACTCCGTATCATCGGGGTTCTCTTCTGGAACCTCACCTCCCCTTCCTAGTAGCTATGTAATTAGAGGGGAGTCCCCACCTCTCGTTTTTAAGAGATAAACCAGCCCAAGACTGAAAATCTCTCTAATAAAGCAAAAAATAATTATTACACTGCCCTGGAAATAAATGTTGGTTTTTAATTTCAAGTGAAACAACAAATATCTTTTCAGCAAAAACACCACTCCATACCGAAGTACAATTGTAACCAATGCCATCAGGCGTTCAACACGCGAAATTTTTTCTACAAGCACATGGCTGCACACGACAAGGAATCAAAGCTGCACTGCACTATTTGTACTCTTCAATTTGAAGATAGGCCGGCGCTGCAGAGTCACATGGCAATCGACCACAACATCGTTCCGGAACGGGTTGTTCCCCAGTGCACGTGTTCCATTTGTGGAGTCACTATTGCCGGTCGAATTAGGCTTCGGTATCACATGGTTTGTTCGAGTTGTTCGGTTCAGGGTCCATTTATCAATTGTGACGATGTTTTTTTTTGTTTCAATTACAGCTGAAATGCCACACTGAACCGAAATTCCCGTGTTCACATTGTCCTAGAAAGTTCGTCACGAAGGGCAACTACTTGAATCATTTGCAATCTCACAAAAGTTTAAGAAAGTTTCCATGCAATTTTTGCAATCTTAAATACAAACGCATGCATCATTTAATAGCTCACATCGAGAGTCGCCATGGCAGTGACCAGTCCGTTCATGTTCTTCAAGTTCATCAGGATAAAAGTCAGAGCAAAACCTGCCACGAAGAATCTCTGGTGGCATGTGAGGGAATCGATATCAAGCATGAAATTCTGGTGGATGCCACGCCAATCACACCTGCTAGTTCGAGTGCAACGGAATGCTCGCAATGTCACATGATGTTCAGTAATGCAAACGAACTCCAAGATCACCTAAGAGTCAGCCATCGATCGATAGAATGTCTAATTTGCGGACTTAGTTTTGCCAGCGCAGCCAGACTAAGGAACCATAAGGTTAGTAACACAACAAAATTTCCAGCTTACCTACCCAGAAGAATTTCAAAAACAATTCAATCAATTTTGCAGCTATTATCTCATACTAAGCCTCGACTGAAGTGCTCTCACTGTCCAAAGATGTTCCATTATCATTATTCGCTCGAACTACACGAAACGAGGCACAATAAAATCAAAGACAACAAACCTATACAATCTCTAACAGAGCTAAGGCAAAGGCCCAAACCAATCCGAACTCCAAAAACCGGTTTTGTTTGCAAATTCTGCAACAAAACGTATCTGGATGAATTTCGGCTAGAACGTCACATTTTCTATAACCATCGCAGTTCAGCAATCCAGTGCGAACTTTGCGATCTCAAGTTTCCTTCCCGTGCTAAGTGGTATTACCATAAGGTACGCCAAAGAGATCTATTTACCTAATACAGATAATCATAAAAAAAATGATTTCCTTTCTACTTGCAGATTAAAACTCATACAGTACCCCGCTTCAAGTGTCCACAATGCGGTATGATGTTCCATGTGCAACACCGCCTTCGGAAGCATTTGGCTGTCCATACAAAAGTTCCGAAGCACGCACGGAAATCCAGCACGGAGGAAAAGGATTAATAGGAAGTTTGGTAAGGTAAGATTAACTGATATATTTTTTTTAAATCAAGAGTAGAGACGTGGAACTCACGATAAATATATTCACATACGCAATCTCAATTTACGTTTACATGATATCATAGAGAAAATTAAACCCTACTCCATTAGATCGGTAAACTAACTTAAAAAAAAAACTATTTAATCGTTTGCCTACCTTGATTTATACATGAAGCAAAATAGTTCATTCTGGACCACGTATTTAACGATTTGAATATTGCCGTTTCAAAAAATTCTCCTTATTCGGCGAGTCACGTGACTCTCTGTCATCGGTGAGGTGACAATTGTCACGTCGTGTGAGGTGACTCTCCGTGCCTAATAAAAAATCGACGCCTAGTTCAAAGTCATTGTTTACGTTTCGAGTTATACCCTTCTGACATGTTTCCCCTGAATTATCACCTCGTGTGAGGTGACAATGGATTAATGAAAATGCAGAGGTTTTGACAGAACTATGCTGTGGCTAAATATACCACAGTAATTTACATTTGATCGTGCATATCCTAATAAACAAATACCACAGACAAACAGACATAACACATTGAAAAATTTTCATTGTAAAACATCGTCACTAAAACATTACCGCCATCTGTTGGGTACACTGTGGTGGGTAGTACGCTGAACAGATGGTGGTAGTGTGTAAACGTCAAACGCAAGGGAATTTACTATGCGCGCCACAAGTGGCAGTACCATCAACTGAGATACTTTCAAATTGGCTGTTAAATGCTTGTTCGATGAACAACTTATGAGAGATATGTCTGTTTGTCTGTGCAAATACCATAAACGAACAATAACCCAAATAGTCAAACTTTTCCACAAATGGTTTGGATGATACCCCGAATATGTCGTTAAGCAAAATAACCATAATATTTTGATTAGGGTATACAGTAGTGCTAAAAGCATGCTGTGGTGGGTCCAAAACTTGACAATAGGTTGTATGAATAAAAGCGTTTACTTTACTTTCCCCGTAAGAAAAGCACGGGAAAGTAAAGTAAACTCTTTTTATTCATACGGCCCATTATCATGAAATTTTCCGCGAACTATTCACCGCACCACTGGTATCGAATCACTTGGACGTTTCTACACTGACGAAGTTTCTATATTGATCTATTGATCCGATACACAATCCGACTGTCAAATCCTTATGTTACCAACCTAACAATGTAAGAAAAAGCTCCATAAGAGATCAGGATGTCGGACTAGCGAGGGTGTTACTGTAAATATATTTCCTCTATTAAAATGCATTTTGTTTTGTTATCTAATAACTCATATCATGGGGGTGCTTCAAATATAACATTCACATAGAACCCATAGAACAGCAAAAAATGTTATCTTCCATTTAATTCTACTAAATTAATTGTCGTATCTATTACAGATACGTATTTCGACTACAATATGCAGTCTTCATCAGTGTCATTCCCACTAAAGACTTATTCAAAATCTAACATAAGGGGGTTAGATTTTGGACAAGCCTTTAGTGGGAATGACGCTGATGAAGACTGCACATTGTAGTCGAAATACCTATCTGTCATAGATACCAAAATAATTAAGTGGAATTAAATGGAAGATAACATTTTTTACTGTTCTATTTAAGCATTCCGCTAACAATCTAATTTCATTACTTTGTGACATTCACATGTTTTTCGATTTGTTTACCCCTCCTCCCCGTGTCACGCTTTTTCCCATACTTATTACACTAATTTTTAGACCCCATCCTGCCCTCAAGAGTGGATGTCATTTGAATCGCCCCATGTGATATTATTAAAAATAAAATAGTTCAGACCACGAAATGGTAGGTATTGCCCGCCAAATGGTAAATCACGAATTGGCATACCGCGAAACGGTCGACCGTGATATCTAGATAGAGCTGGAATTAGGGCCTAACAGCTTTTGTAAACAATGACTTATATCGATGATTTCTAGAAATTCAAGGCTCGCCCACGCAAACTAACATCCTCATCAGGTAGGGAAAGACTTGTCCTATCCGATGATTGTGTTATGGTTAACAGCAATCACGACTCACTACGGAATTCGTTCGAAAACAGGAATAAGAGTGATTAATAGTACTTTTAGACTACAGAGTTACAACGTGTTATAACGATTGTCAAATAATTGCAACACAGAAACCACCATTAAGATAGCGCTATAACATGTTATAACTCTGTAGTCTGAACAAGACTTAAGATCAAATTAGCAATTCTAGATGGAGCAAACAATGATTACTCTCGATGATTTCTTGAAAATCTAGGCTCGCCCACACAAATCATTGAGTAGTCATTGTGTACAAAAACTGTTACGCCCTAATTTCATCTCTGTCTAGAATTAATTCAAAGCCTATTTTAATTGTTGATATGTATTTAATGTTTATTTAACGGACCTTAAATCTAACTAGCCGTATATGGCTTTAATCTCAAAAGTTAAAATAAAACAATAATCTCCTCAAAGACAATGCAACTCAAGCCACCAATTTTGGCCTTTCTATAGGGAAATAAAATGCAAAGGTATAACGTAACTTCATACTTCTATTCGACGGGATCAGTACTCCTGGCTTGGACCGTTGTCATTGCTAGGGCGGCCCTTCTTCTTCGTCCGGGTGTTCTTGGGCAGCAGTTCGGCAATAATGTTTGGGAGTACTCCGCCCTGGGAGATGCTCACATTCCGCAGAAGCTTATTCAATTCATCGTCGTTCCGAACGGCCAACTGAATGTGGCGAGGAATAATGCTGATGGCATAATAGGTAACATATTACTATTGTTAATTGTTTAAGCTTCTTTTCAATCGCACTTACCGATTTCTATTGTTATCCCTGCAAGCGATTCCGGCCAGTTCAAGCAACTCGGCGGTCAAGTACTCGAGCACGGCAGCCATGTAGACACCGCCACCGACTCCGACGCGGTCGGCGTATTTTCCCCGTTTGATCGATGACCAAATTCGCCCTACCGGAAATACCAGACCGGCTCGGGATGATTTGGTTCTTGTCTTTTTCGGTTGGGACATTTTTCCGACGTTCCAAAGGTCCGAAATTCACAACTGAAAACAACGCAGTTATCGCTTATTAAATTTTTATAAACGCAGTAGATCAAGAACGAATGTGGCGCAAAAAGTTAGAAACGATATAATTCCCGCGGTAACGTTGGAAACGATACATAATCAGGGATGTAACAGCTTTCAAACACGAAGAAACAAATCAAGCTGAACATTGTATTAGGTCCTAAGTAACATTGATCGATTCTCTTCATCGACTTTCTCTTTCGTTAATAACTTGATCGCAGAACTCTTTCTTGATGTGTTTGTCGTATAAGATGCTAGATAAAAGCTTCTTTTATCGATCTGTGTGCTGAAAATACCAAATATAGCAGCGCGATAGCAACCGGCCCAAGCGTTGCTATCTATGAAAAATGTTTGTTTTTTTTTTCATTTTAACATTATGATATATGAATGAATTTGGATGTGGGACAAAAATGTGGACCCAAGGGACAGCAAAGCATTCCTCTGGAAGACCCGGAACATCCATAAATGTGGAAAATTAGTAAAAAATGATCTAGATTTTTTTAATCAACTTGTTGTTATGCTGCATGAATGAATTTGGATTTGAAACCAGTTTGTGCACTCTGGTGGCCATGGAACGGTCCTTCGAAAAATCCGGATTTTAAATCACTTATTTTGATGGTACATTGATGAATTTGGATCTGGGACCAGCATGCGAACTCTACTGGCAACAATCCGGTATTTCAGGAGGTCCGTTTCAAGAGCTTCACGACCCTAATAAATAAATACCATAAACGAACTGTATCCCGGATGGGTAAACTATCCCGCAAATGGTTTGGATGGTACCCCGAACACGTCGTTAAGCTCTCTTTTATGGTTATTTTTATTAGGGGATTCACTTATTCTGCACTGATAAAATTCGACACATTTCTATTGGCAAAATTACATGTAAAATTCCACATGATTTTGATGTGTCCACACATAAACAGAATACACATGAAATATATGAGTAAAATGGATACTATGTGTGGTTACAGATGAATTGTATGTTTACACCGTACTACACACAAAAACCGTACACACCGTACACCGAACTACACACAAAAAATAACCGTTAATAAAATTTAAAAAAAAAACCATTGGTAGAATTAAAAGTTTGCATTGGTTCTTTTTGGTAGAAAGCTGTCAATTTAAAAGTTGCCCACTCCCTACTTTTAAAAGTTGAAACTTTCAAATCGAGTTGTAGAATTGTCAAATTGAAAGCATGGCAGTATTTTACAGTATTAACAGCTTGTTTCAAACAAACTTTTGACATGAAAGTTTAATATAGTGTAAATAAAATGTGCCACTTTGAATAGGAAAAATAAATGTTGTCAATTTAAAAACAAGCATTTTCAATATAATATTTTTTTAATTATTTATATTATTTTTAATTTCTTGATAATATTTAATAGTATATATCTGGGGGAACGACACTCATTTGGATGTATTTTTTCAGTCTAGTAATTACTTGGGATTTTCGGGGAAAAACATAATTGATGGGATTTTTTTGAGTGTGTCGTGTTGACGAAAATAGAGCAGGGATAGAAAAAATAGATGGGAATAGATCAGGCAATTGATGTGATGTGAGGAATGTTAAAAAATTTCAGAGGGATACGAGTCTGAACGCGAAGAGGATAGGTGTAAAAAGAAGAAAAATTTGCTGCAATGAAGCGTTTATGAATTACGTAACGCTTATAGGGGGAGAGGGGGTCACCTATATCGTTACGAATTATACATAGGGGAGGAGTAGTAAAGCTTTGCGTTGCGTAAAAAAGAGAACATTTTGTTTTTTTTTTCGTTTCTTGATGTAAAATTTGAAAATACAGGTCTTTTTTGACGTTTTTGGCAACGACAACGAAGGCTATCATCACTAAATCTTGCTTTACAAAATGTATCTGTTTTAATTTTATAAATTGAGATTTTTGCTATCTTGAACTTTTGAAAAGGAGGTACTCGATGGTACGCTGATCTTTTGTTTTTGTTTTGAATATTAATAATATAATTAATTACCTAAAAATAAAAAAATACAAAACGAAATCAAACATTAATTAAATGAAAAGGCGGGGGAGGGGGGTTTATAGAGCGTTGCGTAATAAATAGAGGGGGGTCATTTTCAGTGTACCGTTTTGTTCTAAAGGGGGGGGGGGTCAAACATATTGATTTTTAGCGAAACGGAATTAATGGACACCGCTCGGGACACCGCCCAACTATAATAATCAAAGCTCACAGCTCAAGTGCAGAAAACGGTTGCGCACCGAAAAGGTCGAAACTGCACAGTAGGATGAACGGGTGATGGCGATGGATTACAAGGTTCCAGTTGATATTCCCAGCTGTATTTGGACGGGAATTTGATCCGCAATATTCTCGCACAGAAATGCATCAGCCGGTGGGTGTCTTACTTCACCATTAGCTCTATCTTATCCGAACCCTTGACCAGCAGCAGAGACGAGTAAAACTTGGGCCGAGTGGAAAAAACGACCTGAATTCCTTTTCCATCTGCTTGTCGTAGGGGGTTTCATTGGTAAGGCTTTTCCCGGGGCTAGAATCAGCAGTTCGAACGAAATCAACAGTTGCTTCGCGCCTGTTCGGTAACTTCCATGCTACAACACACAGAGACCCGGGCTCTTATCCGTCGAATTCGATCGGTTTGAGTCCGGGAAATGGATGTGCGTTGCCGTCTCCTCCGTGATGCACTTGATGTTTTTTGCCCCCGAGACCGATTATAGACGAATGGTCCGTCATCTTTTTTTAGTTTTCGCACCGATTTTTTACCGGCATGGTCAGCTGACATACGTGGTGTTTGTTGTGGAGAGTGTTGTAAACTGACAGTGAGTATGGCAGAGTGCTTCGCGGTCGACCTGAAAACTTCGAGAAACCGCACGGCTTGCTTGACAATTTGTGTGCATGCAGAAGGGATAAGTTGGGAATAGAAAGAATAGATAGGATGGATTGAAATTTTGTGCACGTTGAAAATTATATGAGAGGTTTGGGTAAAAATGGGATAATCCTGAAGTGTCGTTCCCCCTGGTATATATACTTTATTCTATAAATATGTTATTCATGTTATGTCTACCCGGTTTCCGAAGACGTCGCTGCTGTGGGCTAGAAGTTCTCCGATGATTTTTCCACTGCAGCTGATGGGATGCTTCATCCTGCAACTGGTACCTGTTCCAAGTATTTAGACTGCAAATGAGAAAGATACAAATCAATATTGGAAACCTTTAGTTATCTCTTGTAAATACTTACATAAATCCACAGACAAACAGACATAGTACATTGAATATTTCTCACTGTAAAACATCGTCGCAAAACATTACTGCCATATGTTGAGTACACTATGGTGGGTGGTACGCAGAACAGATGGCGGTAGTGTGTAAACGTCAAACGCAAGGGAATTGACTATGCGCGCCACAGGTGGCGGTACTACCAACTACGAAACTTTTAAATTTACCGTTAAATGCTTGTTCGATGAACAACTTGCGAGTTTTATGTCTGTTCGTCTGTGATAAATCTATAAGCTGCATACAGGTATAGCTCCAATCACCCATAATTGCTGATTGTACCATTCTCAAGACGAACAGGGCTAGTAGATGGTTGTTCAAAACCGTCGTCGTATGACTAATGCAGTTGAAATTCAAGTACGGGTTCAACATACATGTATATATATGTCAAGTACGGAACCCTTTACACGTCGTCGGGCAAAATGTGCAACTCATTCGTCCCTTTGGAATTAAAAATTGTTCCCAATTCCATGTAGATGAATTGTGTGCAGGAGAAAGATGAAACATCCGCTGACCATTATTTCAGTGGTTTAGATATTTGGAATTGCAATAAAGATTCTCCGTTCTACTTCCACCATGTCAGTTGATCCCGTAGGAATCGTCAGGTTATTCAAGAAAAAGAAACACTTTCAAAACAAAACAATAACTTTTCATTTGAATATTTTCGTAATTGAAACTACGAAATTTGCGAAACTTTTAATTTGAAAATGCATTATTTTTATTGCAACAATTTTTGTTCTTTGTGTGTATGTGTCCGACACATATATATCATTTGTTTATCAAATTGCAAAAAATCATGTGTGGGACACATAAAAATAATCATTGAATTTTTATTAGTGTGAAAGTACAATGGTATGAATTAGGATCTAGGACTAGCATATGCAAACAGGTAGCGGTGTGGTTCTCTGGAAGATTTTGAACACCCATAAAAGTAGACTATTCGCGTAAAAATCCTTGTTTTATTTGGACTTCCGTGAGGTTTTGAATCTTTCCTGAAGTTCATTAATTTTTCTATTGTTCCGGAAATTTTAATATTATTTATAAAATTTCCTGAAGACCTCGCATTGTTTCTGAAGCATTGCAAAATTCATGAAATTCTTGAAATATCCCATAATTCCTTTGAATTATTTGAAATATCCTGCAATTTTTTTTTTAAATGAATGCAACTGATATGAAGATCTCTAATCATCTACGAAGTTCCAAGAACTTCTCAACTATCAAACTACCTGAAAATACCAAAAAATATTTATACTTCTCTGAAGGTCTCTAGACGATCTTGAAGATTTTTTAAAAGTTCTCGAGTTTTTCTTGAACATAATCTGATCGTCGCTGAAGTTCCTGCATTACTTTGCAGTTCAGCCTAAGGCTGAAAGCCTCCTAAATAAAGCTAAATAGTAATAATAATACTTTGCAGTTCTTTAAACTGCATTGAAAGCCATGGAACTCCCTTAAAATGATCTCACATTTTCCTGATGCTCATGTAACATCTCTTATGATTCTGAAATTTAAATAAAGGTCTTGGTTGGTGAAGTTTAGGAAATTCCCTGAGTTTCTTGGAACTTCTTAAGCATTCTTCAATTCCCTTGAAATTAGTTGAACTGTTCTTAGTTTATCTGATCAGTCCTTCTGTTTTCGAAGCATTCTTGAAGTACTTTCAATTCTATTGAAGTTCTTGGTATTACCAACAATCAATACGAAACTAACGATTTTAAATTGGCTCACCACTTTAGTAGCCTATTGGTCCCAAGCAAACGATTAACGTACCCTATTCTAGTTGAAATTCTATTACTACACTATG